GCCCACTCCGTCCGTCTACGTCGGCGAGCCAGTCGTCTTCACCGGCCCCGAGCCCACGCCATCCGTCTACGTCGGCGAGCCAGTCGTCTTTACCGCCTCTTCAGCCTACCCAGCCCCTTCTGCCCCCGCGGACTGCGAGAAGGTCCGCTCGGATTGCCAATCGAAGCCAGATGCCAACCAGTCCTACTGCGCATCCCTCTACGTCAAGTGCTCCGGTACCACCAGCGGCCTGAACAAGCCCGGCCCTGCTCCCACCACCCCGGCGAAGGGCACCGGAGCCAGCACCACCGGAATGGTTACCTACACCGGCCCTGCGGTTGCTGGCGCCGGCTCGGTCAAGCCTGCCGTCGGTCTCTTGGCCCTGGGCGCTCTCGCACTGCTGTAGATCGGTTAGCTGAGATAATTAAAACGACTCGGTGATAGCAGTACCGTGTATTGGAACACACCGACCTCGGGGGATGAACAAATACAAATCGGACTTGGGTATATTTTCTTTTTTTCTTTTTTGGAAGTGGAGGAAAAAATTCAACAATAAAATAAAATCTTAGGGGAGGGGGAGGAGGCATGGAAATTTGGTATATGGTGGTAGAATGATAATACGAAAGTTTATATTCATATGTATTATACTTTTTTTATTCGGTGACCTCTCTTTTTCGCATTCGCAAATCTGGGGAGACGTGATGTGGATGACGGGAGGGAAAAAGGTTGGTCGCTGTCTATCTTCCCTACCTTACCTTGTGGAGGGCGCCCCCTCGTCTGGTTCAAAAGCCCGCATCTCGCGGTGTCTGGTTCAGGGCTCGAATCGACGACTGTCCGTATGACCTAGGTCCGGTCGTCGGAACTAACTATTTCGGCTGGCTTGTACTGATTCCGTATTCAAACTGTATGATATAATCGGGGGTTTTATTTTATTTTATTTTGCCGTTGTAATATCATTAGCTTTGTGAGGTTGTGAGTTTGTGAGTTTGTGAGTTTGTGAGTTTGCGAGTTTGTGAGTTTGTGAGTTTGTGAGTTTTGTGAGTTTTGTGAGTTTTGTGAGTTTTGGCAGCTCTCAAACTTCGGTACCTAGTCTCTGTAATAGATAGATACCGGTAATCTGGCGATACTAAGTCTACTCCGTGAGGTAGAGATTTCGCAGCAGATCCGCTTACTTTTTACTTGTGTTGCGAAAGGCGAAAGAATCTTACGTTAGGGAGGGGGGGGGGGAAAGGGGGATTGAAAAAAAAAAAAGATTGCTTTTACTTTATATGTATATATACTACTATGTAATGGTCGGTTTCCTTAAATTTAAAATCGAAAGAATTGACCGACTTGCTGTAAGGTCGGGATTTTTTACAAATTTAATTCAAGGTAACCGACGATTATGTGTATATGAGAAGAAAAAAAAAAGTAGAAAAATAAATAGATTCATGATGCATTGCAGATCTGAAAAGAAAAGAAAAGAAAAGAAGAAAAAATATGGGCTTGGAAATCTTTTTTTTTTATCGATTTTAATTTGATTGAATCAGACGTTGTTGTCGTTGTGAAATCCTGGTTTTGTAGAGACAAGTCAATGTGGTTGCAAGTCAAGGTTAACGAGCAGAGAATGACGTCGATGCGCCGGGAGTGGAGATCGTTGAGTTAAGTTAAAAGATGGTTGGCAGATAAGGTCGGGTAAGGTGATCTGAGCTGAGCTGAGCGTGGAAGGGTTTTTTTGTTTTTTTTTTTTTTTAATTCCGAAAAGTATGATATATTCCTGTGCGAAAGCTACCTTAAAGGCAATTTAGGGGATTACATAGACGGTCAGCTAATCAATCATCCGATGACGATGTCTTGTAGGGACGGGCTCGAGAGGTTAGCGTGGTGAGTCGCCACAGGTCTATATCTAGGATTGAATAGATTCTAAAAGGCCAAAAAAAAATACAACCGGTTTCAATCATTGAATTGTAGCTGAAATAGAATCGACTTGATCGAATAAATCATCTCTTTCAAAAGCTCGTATTTTCGTCAAAAGGCCGTCCTAAGACATTTTGGGATCGTTTTAGGACCGTCCTAGGACCGTCCCAAGACCGTCCCCGAACTTCAGACCGGGCCTAAGAAATATCTTGGCACGAATATTTAAAGATTACGAAACCAGGTTATACTTACATCGATTTTGCGAACTAGAGTCTAAATAAAACGGTTTACAATTAATTGCGTCGAAAAACCGATTTATAAAAAATTGAACGGGGAGGGCTGTAAGACGGTCACTGGACGGTCTCTTTTAATAGGAGGGCCTAGATATCACCTGCGCTGTTTCCGAATAAAGCTTTGTATTTACTTTAGACGGTCTAACAAATGCCTCTGGTAAGAGAGGGTCAGAGGACCATTGAAATGATCCCCTACCTGCCTTCAAGGTATAACAATAACGGCGGGTATTCGAAACGCAATATTTGTAAGTATAAGGGGGTCACTGATAGATAGAATGGGTTCTGATTCTTGAAGAGGGAAAGAAGCTCTGCCGAGCCTGCAGAGGCTCTTAGCTACTTGTCCGCGCTACCTGGCCACCTGCCATAGCACCCCGTGACAGCTCGGAACAAACGCTCGATATAATATAGATGTATACATATATCGTTCGAACCTCCCGCAAATTTATATAAACTTGATATAGAGGAAGGTTGGTCTCGTGTACTCATCTTTATTCTTCATAACCATGCAAACAGATTGTCTTTTCGTTTGTGAACTATTCTAAAAATAAAATCACCCGCGGCTGATCTGATAAATGATCAGACTGGATATAATACTAGCAATATGTCTCCACTTCTGATATGGATTGTTAAAGCCTTTCCGTATTTGACTCTCGGGTGCCGGCCTTGGCTAGCGAGCGGGTAGCTTGCTGATTTCCGCGACGGGTTCTTTCTTCTCGCTTAACTTACCTACTTCACCCATTGCGGCGAGAGTTGTAGCGGTTTTCCCGGACTAGATTCTATATGGAGTGGTTATATTAGCAAGGGGAGAGGGAGGCTATCATCCATCTCATCTTTGGATTCCGGGGAACAATTGATCGGCGGTATGCCAGGGGGATCGGCATCACATACAGCGAGTTTGGATGGCTTGTTGGGCACAAAATTAGTGGAATGTTACATTACTTGTATGCTCGGGTGCGGGAGGGAGGAGAGAAGAGAGAGGCCGGGTTCTTACAGGATGGATGGATCGCTGGGCGTTATCTGAGCTCTTGAAGGATCGAGGAGTGGAGTTCTGGGATACTCGTTAGGCGAAGTGATCTGATATAAAAACCGGGGAGCTTCCATTGAGTTCATAATATGTACTGTGAACAAACACCTCGTCCGTCAAATGCTTCGTCACTTTCCCACAGCCCTTGCGTTGTTAGCAAGTGCTGTGTCGGGCGTTGCTGTCTCGGAGAAACAGTATACGGCTACAGATGCGAGGGATGGCTGTCCAGGATACGTTGCCTCTAATATCGTGCAGACTGGAACTGGCTTGAGTGCAAGCTTGAAGCTCGGGGGGACAGCTTGCAATGTCCATGGTACCGATGTGCCTGAGTTGAAGCTCACCGTCAACCACGATACTGGTAAGTCGTTCATTCCACTCCTGGCTATGAAACAAAACGCTTATAAGGATTAGAATCACGACTTCACGTCAAGATCGAAGATGCAGGACAAATCGCCTACCAGGTTCCCACCTCCGTCTTCCCAACTCCTAGCGCCAATGGCTCCGTCTCCCCAGCGGCTGCCACGCTAGAGTTCTCCTACGAAACGTCGCCTTTCAGCTTCAAAGTCACGCGGAGATCCAATGGAGAGATCCTCTTCGACACCAGTGCCGCGACGATGATATTCGAGGACCAGTACCTACGACTCCGGACTGCGCTGCCGGACGACCCAAACCTTTACGGCCTCGGTGAACACACCGATTCGTTGCGGCTCAACACCACGGGCTACACGCGCACCCTCTGGTCTCGCGATGGCTACCTTGTACCGTCGGGACAGAACCTGTACGGTAACCACCCGATCTACTTCGATCACCGGGGCGAGAAGGGGACGCATGGCGTCTTTATGCTTTCTAGCGCCGGCATGGACGTCAAGATCAACCGCACGGAGCAGGACGGGCAATACCTTGAAGTGAGTATCGCGAATTTGCTTCTTGCCTGCCAGCTAGAAATCTCTCTGCTGCTAACGTATAGAGTAGTATAACATGATGTCCGGAATTCTTGACATGTACTTTCTCAGCGGACCGAGTCCGATAGATGTTGCAAAGCAGTATTCGGAGGTCACCCGGAAGGCGGCTATGATGCCGTACTGGGGCTTTGGATACCACCAGTGCCGGTATGGCTATAGGGATTTCTACTCCATCGCCGAGGTGGTGTATAACTACTCGATGGCGGGGATCCCGTTAGAGACAATGTGGACGGATATCGACTACATGTACGAAAGGTATATCATGACGACGGATCCTGATCGCTTCCCAGTTGCGAGAGTCAGGGAGTACGTCGACTATTTACACGATCACCATCAGAAGTACATTGTAATGGTTGACCCTGCCGTGGCATTTCAAACAGAGCGAGAAAATGGATTGCCATATGAGACTTTTTTGAAGGCCCGAGACCAGGGTATCTTATTGCAGAAGAACGGATCTATCTATCAAGGTGTTGTTTGGCCCGGTAATGCATCCTGTCAAGTTCAAAATACCCGCGATATCCCTACTAATGAGTTCAGGTATCACTGCGTTCCCCGACTGGTTCCACCCCGACACGCAGAAATTTTGGGACGACGAGTTCGCAGAGTTCTTCAACGCTGACACGGGTGTCGATATCGACGGACTCTGGATCGACATGAACGAGGCAGCCAACTTCAACTACTTTGGCGACGACCCGCAAGAGAGCGCCGAGGAGCGTGGCTTCCCCCCTACGAGAGCGCCTCTCAGATCTAGTCCTCGGCCTCTCCCTGGATTCCCAGAGGCTTTCCAGCCAAATTCCAGCTCGCCATACCCACCTGATGGTCTCGCGTACGCACCACCGTGGCTGGTCCCGGCTGCTGCGCCCAGTACCCGGCGTTCCATTGCTAGCAATGTGGTATTGCAAAAGCGGCAAGCTCAGAAGGTCATTGGTTTCCCAGGTAGGAACCTCTTGGAGCCCCCTTACCAGATCGACAACGCAAACACGGTCGAGGCATACGGAGGCGTTTCGAATTTCACGCTCGACACCGACATTGTACACTACGACGGGCACGTCGAGCTGGACGTCCACAACATCTATGGCGCGATGATGAGCGCGGCCTCACGTACTGCTCTCATCAACCGTCGACCGCGCCGCCGTCCAATGGTCATCACGCGCTCGACCTTCGCCGGCTCTGGCCACACCGTGGGCAAGTGGCTTGGAGACAACATGTCAACCTGGGAACTGTATCGCAACTCGATCCAAGGCATGCTCGGTTTCGCAGCGATCTACCAAGTCCCCATGGTTGGCTCCGACGTCTGTGGCTTCGCCGGTAACACGACCGAGGTGCTGTGCGCGCGCTGGGCCACCTTGGGGGCGTTCAACCCCTTCTTCCGGAACCACAACGGCGACTATTCGAGCCCGCAGGAGTTCTATGTCTGGGCGAGCGTGACCGCGGCGGCCAAGAACGCCATCGACATCCGCTACCGGCTGCTCGATTACATCTACACGGCCCTGTACCAGCAGAGCGTCGACGGCACCCCGCTCCTCAACCCGATGTTCTTCCTCTATCCCGCGGACCGCCACACCGTCGGCGTGGACCTCCAGTTCTTCTACGGCGACGCCCTCCTCGTCTCGCCCGTCACGGAGGAGAACGCCACCCACGTCGAGATCTACCTCCCGCGCGACACCTTCTACGATTTCAAGACGTACGCGAAGATCGAAGGGGAGGGCGCGAAGCTCAACCTGACGGACATCCCGCTCACCGAGATCCCGCTGCACGTCCGCGGCGGCTGCGTCGTTCCGATGCGCAACGCTTCGGGCGCTACCACCACCGACGTGCGCGCGCAGCCGTTCAACTTCTTCGTGGCGCCCGATGCGGAGGGGAGAGCCGTCGGGCGGCTGTATCTAGATGACGGCGAGAGTCTCGTGCAGGAAGCCACGAGCGAGATTGCGCTGACGTATGGCGACGGGGAGCTGCTCGTCGGAGGCTCCTTCGGGTACCGGGCCGAGGGGAACTGGCTGCATGAGGTGATTGTGCTGGGTGTTGAGGTGGAGCCCGAGGGCGCGTACTGGAGCCAGGGGGTTGTGGATGGGGGGGCGACGACGGTTTGGGTTGCTTGTCCTCTCGGTGAGGGGTGGAGGTGGGATGCTGAGAGGAAGGCGTTGATAATTAAGGTCGGGAGGATGTTGGATGAGGCGATCCGGGTGAAGTTCGAGTAGGTGTTCTGGCTGGTGTTTGTACGCATACACATCCACACACTCATGTATATATATGTATTTATATAATGCTAGAAAAGGCTTTTAGTAACCCATTACTAATGACCTTTTTACCTCACTCCCCCTTTTTTGCCGTTCTGTTTACCTCGATCCCCCTTTTTTTCCCCTAAGCGAATCATCCTCCTTCCTACCCACAGCCTCACAAATCTGTATTTATACAAATCCAATCGACTGTGTACCAACGACCATCACGCATAGGTGGCCGTCTACGTCCCCTGTTCTAATAGAAATTGAAGATGTCCTGGTTCTTCCAAGTCTATCCGACCCTGCCACAACTCGCCGCTAAATTGTACAGCCTACCAAGAAAGACGCATCGAAATCCATACTCTCATGACCATACCAACAAGCACGTATTTGCCCTTTCTTATTGGTCACCGTACCAAAATCTAAATACGATCCCTTGCCTTGGATCCGGCCCCGTGTTCAAAGAAGGGAAATATAATCACAAACCCGATGAATCCGCCGAAGCGCGGCTGAATTTGATGCTAAATAGAGGCGGGCTTGCTCAGAAGCCGACCGCTTCTGAAGTTGCCACCACGGACGTCGTGAGATCTCTTCACCTTGGAAGTCGAGGAGATAGGTTGATTGATTGATTGGAACCGTTCATCTCTACAGGTTAGGACAGTCCTCAATAGCCCGGGTCCCAACGTCTACTTTTCGCAAGTGACGCCGTTCCGAGCTGTAAAGCAGCCGAAGTTGCCGGCGATCTTCTTCTAAGATTGCAAGTGGCTATCGAAGAGCGTTTTGTCATTTGGACCCGTCGTAGCAAGAGGCTTCTACACAGGGGGGGAGCGTGCGTCGATGGCTATTGAAAGAGGACCTTGTAAGCCGAGCCCCTCTCCTTCCAGATGTGAATGATGTACCGCTGAGAGTTGCGCGTAGGGAAAAGCCCGTCGTTGATCGCAATGGATAGACGTCCAACGAGATGCACGACGAAGCGCTTGAGATGTTCATAGAGCGCAGAGAAGCAGGCCTGAAGACGCTTACTGGGGAAGAGCTCGCCGAATCCGACAAGCAGATGATATGGGCCCAGAGAGGGCGAGAGAAAGGCTACCCCAGCTTGAATCAACTTGAGGACGAGATCTAGACACACTTAGACATGCATATGTTTTGCTGCCCACTGTACTCGTCACAGGCTTCTTCTCGTCAGATCTCCATGCTTCCTGCCAGATCTCAGAAGAAGTTGAAAGGAGTATCCGATACAGCGTGTGAGAGGTGACCATTCTCTAGAAATTCACGACTAATCAATCAGCTCGAGATTAACGCCGCGAGGGAAACGCTATTGAGGATTCGATACTACTGGTCCATCCATACACAGCCGCATACCGGTAATTCAAGCACCCCTTCCAAGCAGAAGATTTCATTGCATTGAGTTCAGTACGCAAGGCATCGTCCCGCGACAGGGAACCAAATATCCTGGCGGCCCTAACTAATACTCAATGCGCTGGCTGTGTGCTATGAGCCTGCGAGCTCTCGGTTCCAGTCAGGTCAAGCAAGTGTCCCCCCCACCTCCTATTGAAAAAAGCTTTTATCTCACGATGTTGACTGCATTCAACAATAACTCTGTGTATGAGAAGTCGGTAGTCAAACCGAGCTCGAATGCGTCGATTCGCGCCATCCACTTCTTCATATCATCTATGACTCGTTTCTGTTATCGATCTACGCATGTTACAAAGCCGCAGTTAAAATCTGATTGAGAAAGATGATTACGCCGATACGTAAATGCATACAATGTGTATAATTACAGCTTGTTGCTGCGTTGCAAAAGTTCTCTGCAATACAAATCACGAATTCAGATGATTTTTTTTTCTGATGGTTTTCAGCCCGAATCTCCAGTGTACCTATTTGCGAGAGGACACTTGCTTGACTTGACTGTAACCGAGAGAAGAGAGCCCGTAGGTTCACAGTCAGCGAGCGCACTGGTTATTATATAATGTTTGCATGGTATGCTTCGGCCAAAGAACGATACGGGGAGTGGTCGATGAAGCAAGCAAGCAAGCAAGTATCAGACATCCGGGCTAGAAAACACCAGCACTACCTAGAGAGAGAGAGCCTCGGGAGCGCCTAAACGCGAAATGTTAGATTAAGGATTAGGCGAGCGCCAAGAAATTGCCATCCCACTCCCATCCCATTATTATAATAATACAAGAAGATCTATTGCCCAATTTCCTCTGGCTTGAAATGTGCTTGTTCCAAGGCCTGCGAAAATGTATATTGAAAAAAAGTAGTTGCACGAGAATGCACGGTAAAAATTTGTATGAAGTGACAGTCCCTCAGGCGCGAGTCGAACCTATACAGCTGTTAGCAGCCGTCTGAGAGGATATTTTGATCTGAAGCTTTGCGAGGGCTTCAGGGTCTGGAAGTTGGGATGCACGTACGCGCGACATTCGGATGTTACTGATGCAATTACAGTCCGACGCCATAAACCAACTAGACGACCGAGGGTGGTTGTGGAGATGTAACGGCCGAAAAAATTAGCATCTATATTCTCAATGCTCGAATTTGCATCCGAGGATAAGCCATGAGCCAAGGTGGGTGTGGGGGTAGTAGTACTTGTGTTGCTCGGGAGCCGAAAACAGCGATATTATGTTCTATTTTCTTGATCGAACACAGAATCTGATGTTGTAATTGGGGTCTAACTGAAAAATTCTCCCAACAATCGCATTGAAGGAAAGAAATAATCAAATCGAGTTCTAGTCTGTATCACGTGATAGGGTACTCTGTTGGGCCAGCAGCTGCATCCTGGATTCGGATCAATCCCCTACCAAGCTGTGTCTGCCATACCTCTTCTCTCCCCATCCCACTCTGTCAAATGCAGATGGCCGTTCCGCGTCGTGCTGGCCATGAGGCTCATATGTATATATATAGCAGCAAATAATCATTCCATTCTCTCAGATTCTACGCGTCTCGGTTCAATCTCTTCTCTCTTATCTAATCAACTGATAATAGCAGCAACAGTAACAATAGTATCCGGGGCGAAACGTGAGGAGATAGCAACAGATCGGCAAAAGCACCGCGGTGCTACAATCGCTGCTGTTGAATCTGGTCTCCCGGCAATCACGGGCATACCTACGTCCACCAACACCATCCCCTTGGCAAAGCAGTGCCTGACTGCGGGTAGGTCAAGATTCCGGAGAGCTATGTCGAGGACTTGGTTGCGCAGCTGGCGAGGGGAAAGATCAGTTCACTGGCTGTCACTAAGTCCTTCTCGCGCCGGGCGGCTCTGGCATAGAAAGCTGTACGTCTCATCCCCTTCTTCATTGGACTGAGGCTGATGATAGAGATAGATAGACTGTATCACTGAATTCCTCCCTACCCGAGCCCTTGAACATGCACTGAAGCGTAGGCAACTGAAGGGGAACGGAACCGTTCAGCTCGTCGGCTGGAATCCTCTAAACACGACAATATTTAAGAGATTATCGTAAGAGCCTCTTCCAGCCTTTTTTTTTTCCGGATCTTTCTCTTACAGGACGCAGGCAAAGCTTTATTTCTGCGATGGTGCTGCTGAAGAAACTCGCAGCGCGAGAATCATTCTCGGAGCTTTGACGAACAATTACCAAATACATTGTAAAAGACAAGCCCTACGTGGTATTCCATACCGTGCCACCCTTCTGGTCCTCAACCCCGCGTCGCGACAAATACAGAGCCGGCTACAGCGCTCTCTGTACCTCAACCGCAACATCCATCTCCCTAACAGATGAGCTCGAGGGCATGGTTGATGTCACGTCAACGCCCGCCGGGCGATCCGCGGCCAAGTGGCGGGGCTACTCGAGTCAGTAGAACGAACTTGCTGGATTACCTCGCGCTGGTATCCCCAGTTGATAAATTCAAAGTTGCGAAAGACGGCGGAAGACTCAATACAAACCGCGGAACGAAAAGGACAGGTATAGCGAGGATATCTAAATCGAAGTGAGTTTAGCGCGGCAGGCTACAAAGAACGATTCGCCGATTAGTCTGCAGGCTGTCGGTAGAACGTATGCGCGTTTTCTTTTACGAGTTGTTTAGCGGCGCACTACCAGATGCTACAGTACCGTAGGTAGATACGCAGACGGAAAAGCCCAACAAGCGATCAATCTTTTAAAGCATGATACTGTACTTGCGTTTCCGGTCTTCTGTCGGGTATGTTTACAAGGAGTACTACCTACATGTAGGTAGCTGCATAGTAAGTAGTGTCGCGCAACTTCGTATCAAGGCCAAGTGGCTTGATTCAAGATCGCTCGTGTTTACGCCTTAGCAGATCAGAGAGAAGATCTAGAGTCTAGAGAAAGCGATAGAGTCAGAAAGACAGACAGACAGGCTGGCGTGCGTGCGTACGTATATGCGCGCTCTAGTTATGCGGAAAAGAACAGTACAGATGACAGACAGCTTTAAATAGGTAGGTAGGTACCGGTAGATAGATACCGACCGACGCCCTATTGCCGCAGCCGCCTTGCTATAATACGAGCCATAGCTAGGTAACCTATCTCTCCTGAAGGTATAGGCACACTTACGTTGCGTATGTACCGGTAGTGTATTGGTATCGAGTCAGTCGTGTATGCATCCTTTCCGGTGTTTTTTTCTTTTTTTTCTTTTTCTTTTCTTTCTTTTCTTTTTATTTTCCAAGTATTCTTTATCTATAAGCGCGGTATGGGAAATGCAATGGAATAGAATGAATAGAATAAATGAATGAATGGCTCTCTGCTTGCTAGCAGTTACTAGCCCCGTCGGGAGATAGCAGAGGTACCGGTAGGCAAGATAAGTGAGTCTGTCCGCGTGCTGTGCCGTGCTATATTATCTTAGGACTGTGCTACGCGAGCAAGCGAGCGAGTCACGCTTCATGTTTCCGTGACGCGAAGGGACGTGACGTAACGGGCGGCTATATACCTACCGGTACGTTATCCGCTGTTTTATTTTCGCGCTTCTGCCTAAAAGCGTCACGGTTATACCGTTAGTCGGGCTAGATACGTAAGCGGCTGAGGGTTGTTAGTTAGGTAGTCACCACTGGGTAAAGCACGGTAAAGCACGGTACGGTACGGTAAGTTGGTCTCAACCAGTGTGAGATGAGGGCAGGCTCGCTTGTCGCGTGTTCGTCGCTTGGGTTGTTGTTTGTTTTCTTAGCTCTGGCGCCTCTGTCGCAGGGAAAAGAGATTGGATGGGTGTTGTTTCCGTGTGGCGTGGGAGAGATGTCCACGAGAAGAGAGGAGGAGAGATGGGCGTGTAGATACTATTTGTATATATATATGTGTGTGTGTGTGTGTGTTCCATTCATCACCCCCTTGGTTCGGCTCAGCTGAGAAGACAGAGAAGCAAGCAAGATTGGTGCCTTTTGCATACCTTATACCTCTTACATGCATACTGCATGTCATTGATCTAGCATCTACTTACTTTCTCCTTATATCCTCGGAGCGGACAGAAGTAGGATATTTCTCCGATTGGAACACTTCTGTTCGTTTCATTTCATTTCATCTCAGTTCATGCTGACTGGTTGATGGACAGATAGGTGGAGATGGCTGCTATCAGCGTCAACACGGCGTCGTCGTGTAACGATCTCGCTACCAGAGATGCAGCCGTACGTTTCCTCCCTCCGACCTTGATGAATTTTAGTTCTTCCGACTTCTTACAGCCACCGATGGATGAAGAGCTGATGTTTGTGTTGTAGCTTACGCTTCGCGAGCAGCGGCTCGACGCTAGAGAGGCGGCGCTTGATGCTCGCGAGGCGGCTCTGAATGTGGAAGCTGCGTTGACTGTATTTGTTGATGCGTTGAGAACAGCTGTTGCTGTTGCTGGTGTCGGGCTGGGCTGTGGAGAGGGTGTTTCTGGGGTTGAGGGCGATGGCTTTAGTGAGGTGAAGGAGGAGGAGGTTGAGGAGGAGGGAGGTCAGGAGGCTGTTGTTGAGGAAGAGAAGAGGGAAGCGAAGAGCGATGAGAAGTCTACACCGATTACTGAAGAACAGGCACAGCGCGAGGAAGGAGACTCAGATATCTACGAGACTACTTCAGAGCAAGTCGGAGAGCAGAAGAGCGAGGACGCCGCGCAAGTGGCTGCGCAAGAAGAGGGGACGATGAGCGAGTCGGCTCCTATAGTTGACGAGGACCAGAAACCGGCTCTTGCGGAGGAAGAGAAAGCTGCAAAGGACGAGCCAGTCTCGCAGTCCTTTGAGAGCACCGCCACCTCCTTCGTCCCAGCACACGAAGCCACCTCCGAAGAACCATCTACCACCAGCATCATCACCTCTTCTGACACGCTGCCTGCACAGGAACATGAACGGCAAGAACAAGGAGAAGACGAAGAAGAGGAGGGAACCTTTGCCCCCGCCGACGGATTTCCAGCCCCCGCCCCGATCACCGGTCTCGAGACGCCGGCTGCAATCGACGACACGCCTAAGCCGCTGGCGGTGCACTTCGCTGAGCCGGTCGCCGAGCTGATTCCCGAAGAGAAGGGGGAGGAGGCAAGGTTAGGACACCAATATGTCTCCTTTGGACTGCTGGTATTTCCTCGCTTCTATATGGATATCCGAGATGGGAGGAATGCTAACGGCGACAGGATGAGGATGCGGATGCCACGTACGGGCTTCATAGAGAGGGCGAGAAGACGAGTGTGGTCAGTGTAAGTACTGAAATTGGGGTTTTTTTTTTTTTTTTTAATTTTTTTTAAAAAAAAGTTTGAAGCGAGAGCGAGCAGTAGAAGCGAGAACAGGATACAACAGATATACTGACCTGCAAACAGGCCCCTGAATCAACACCTGTCGTCGACACGGAACAGGAGATCCATCCCCCTCCCCAGGCACTCGTCATCGGCAAGAGCAGCAGCAGCAGCAGCAGCAGCAGCAGCAGCAGCACCGCTCCCGCCCAGACTGCAGACGAGCTCGCCCCTCCATCACCCCCTCCCACATCGGCCGTGACCGAGGACTCTCCTCCCGACGCAGCCAGCGCCCATCCAGAAGAAGCTCCGACTCCCGTATTGGCGGTGTCGGAACCCCCGAGCGACGAAGCCTCCCAAACCCTCACCGAGACCCGGGGAGGAGAGGACGAGGAAAGCCCAGCTGCTGCTGCTGCTGCAGAGCGGGAACCGCACCCCACGGCTACGGCTATGGCTCTGCTCGCGGAGGCGATCGGGCGAGGGCACAAAGAGGACGCCGGCAACGCTTAGATGTCCCGAAGTATGCGTACATACCGGTACATGTATACTTGTACCTATCAAGCATCCGTCGTCGCCGCCAGCCAGCAAGAGCGGGGACTTTCAAGCAAGTAGAAGGAAGGTTAACTGTAATATTTGCAATACATAATATACATTTACATATACATACTTCGATAAATACACGACAATTTTTTTTTAAAAGAAATAAAATTAAAATTAAAATTATTATAACGCCCATCTCCCCTTCCTCCTTCTCCTCTCCTCTACAAAGCACCACCGCCTCGAGATCCGCACATACACGACAGAGAAAAAAAACATCACGAGACGTAGGTAGCACATCTGGCGAAGAAAGAACTCAGGTCGCGAGAAGAGAAATCTTGCGTCTTGAGTTTAGTAGCCCAGGCTTTGATAGTTAAGTCCTTTATACAGGATGGGGGAAAAAAAAAAAAAAAAAGGAAGGAAAGAAAAGAAGAAGGTACCGCAAAGCGCAAAGGGCAAAGCGCAAGCGAAGCGAGGGAGATGGTAATAGTTCGATTCGGTTCGATTCGATTCCTATAGGTAAGTTGTTTTTACAAGGCTGCTCTTGCCTTTCTCTGCCTTTTGCCTTTGCTGTTTTGATTTTGAAGCGCGTTCGTTTGTTCGTTCGTTAATTGATTGGTTGCTTTGCTTCGGGATGGGTGGGATGGGATGAGATGAGATGAGATGAGAGGTGTGAAGGCAAGGCAAGGCAAGGCAGTTAAGAAAGGAAAAAAAAGAGAAAAAGATAAAGAAAAAGGTGAAGAAGGTGAGGAAGGTAAGGAAGGTGAGTATATACGGTATATATATATTGATATACTGATATATACTGATATATACTGATATACTAAAGCATCCAAACCCATATAAAATGCAACCGATGATTTCTCTTTCCTCGGATCAGAATAGGAAGCATCTTTCCTTTTTTTTTTTTTCCTTTTTTTTTTC